AGCACATGAGCAAGCTATTTCGCATTACAACCAAAATGCCAAAAACTTAAACCCGATCGCGGCAGGAGCTAAAGTTAGAATTCAAGACAAAAGAACGAAATTATGGAATACAATTGGAGAGGTAGTTGAGTTAGGGAAGAATAGAAAATACACCATCAAAACTCCAAGTGGGCGAATTCTAATTAGAAACAGAAGATTTATCAAAAAGATATAGAAAATAACAGATAGCTTCACCAATACACGCACTCAAGAGGGAGATGTGGAATATGCCATCACGAACTCAAGAGGGAGGTGTGGGAATAAGCTACTGTATATATATATGATATTTAGTTAGTTTTAGTTTATGTTATATGTATACTTACTGGGTCTACAGGAGTCAGTTGATCTGACGGAAATAAAGAGTGAGTTGTCAGATACAAAAGGTCTTATCTTTTATTGTGTAACTTACCACATTACATTTATATAAAAACATTTTGGGGTATTGATTTTTAGTACCTATATTTTTTTTTTTTTGTGTGTGTGTCATCGGCTTCAACTGCTAAGGTTATTTCGCCTCGTGTTCTGTGTAGGCTTTGTTACTGTTTCCCAGCGCCACTTTAGGAACAGCACTGTTAATTAGAACCCAACAGTGAATGGTCGAGTGGGGAATCCTACCAAGGCATCAGAATTAATTTCAAATAATTAAATTAAATGAAAAAATCCCGGCCAACGGTGGGATTCGAACCTGAGACCTTCCGATCTCAAAGTTATGACTCTAACCACTGAGCCAACCCACCCCCAGTACCTATATTTATTTTTGTTTATGAAAATGATCACATTCAAGCAGTTGAATACCCTGATTTAATACCTAAATAGTTATGAAAATAAATGTTGCTCAGTAGTTTTAGCTTTTATAAATTTATCTCGTTTTTATTAATAATAATAAAAAAAAAACTTTAATTTTTATTTGATTTTTAATGTACTTTTTTTTATTTAGATTTCCTAAAATTAGTTATTTTCATTATTAATAAAGTCCTTGTATCACTGCTACAAGAAAATATTGTTTGTAAATAATGAAATTATTTCTTGTAATTAAAGTACTTACTATTTGTGGTTAGTAAGTATAATAATCCTTTATTTTTCATTGTAAAATATAATTTTTCAGTATCAATCTTCTTAAAATTACGGTGGGCGATTGCTCTCAAGAACATACACTGTGATAATGTTTTTGAGCATTCTGAAAAACCACATTTTGGACATGTGTAGTTTTTTCTATAAATAGTAAAATATTTCAAAAATCAATATAATCGGTACTCAATAATAACAAAAACAGAATATTCCAAAAACTAATGGCCATACAACAATACATATCACCTCCTTGTGTAATTTTGTGATGCATCACACCCGTTCCCTGTTAACGAAAAGATGCCATCGTATTAGTTTATGAACCAGGGGTTAAATCCATTAAATACGTTTTTTTTATTATTATTTGCCTAACTGCTGTCTGAGGTTGACATCGTCGGTGTCGTTATAATACCTCGTAACCCTCATTTTGACAAAAATTAGATTTTTACGTCAAATTGTTGCGGTTACCCATATTTACCATTACAGAAAACCTCGTACCCCACAAAATTTTTAAAACTTTAAAAATTGAACTTTTCTAATACCTCGTATAGTAATAGTAATAAATAAACAGAACGGTTTTTGGCTTCTCCTGTAAAATGTTACTTTTGGGCTTACGAGGTATTAGAACGACACCGGCGATATATACACTTCACAATGAAATTGTGTAATTATACCTTTAAAATTTCACACTTCTAGATCTTTCTATTTGGGCAGTGGGTTGAATTTGGGGTGTTTTAATCAATCAGGAACTCATTTATATAGAGATATAGGAATTGTCCAATTTTAAGCTTTAATCAACACATATCTGCTACTGTCCACAAATCCATGAAATGCTGGGTTTTATCATAAGGTTGACCCATGATGACACAACTGCAACTCCACCTTGACTATTGCTCTTCCATTTGGTCTCTATACTATATAACGTATAGTAGAAAAATTTACAGGGTTCAGCACAACTTTCTCAGACATATAGCTTAGGTGTTTATTGTGAATATGATTTCATGGAACAGTTTTTGAACATCCCCTCCTTGCAGTGTCGGATTTATATTTTTTATGAGTGTAGGCCACTGTATTTTCACCGCCCCATGTACCTTTCTAAAATAATAATTTTTCATTTATAGTGAGGCACTAAAGTTAAATAAACGAATGAATTAGTCATTAAGAAAGAGCGTAAAAAAGAAACAAGAATTACAATTTTTTAGGGGACTTTTTAATAGCAAAATCAATTATAATATCATTGTAGTTTATAGTGTTCATTATCTCTGCTTCCATTTAGAAAGAAGCTAAAGAATTCATTTTTTCTTCAGACAATAGGTCAGTCACTATTAGTGCCGCTTTTATTTTGACATCTGAGCATGCGCAGATCACTAACTTTAATAAAGATTGTGTCTGTCCTTAATAGAGAGATATTGCAAATTTCTATAAAGCCAGCCACTAAACTTTAAATTATAGTTAATCTTTTTTGTTGTCTATAATTTAAAGAGGCATTAGAAATTATAATTTTAGAAGGTTTAAATGACGGTTAAATTAAATATTTAATATTAAAAAACTTCTAACGGATACGAATGTCGGCGAGCGCATCCGAAAACTATAAAGTCGCCACTACCTGCTACCCTTAAACATCCACAATTAAGGACATGCACAATCCTTAATAAAGTCAGTTTTAAAACATAAACATCTGCGCATGCTTAGATGTCAAAATAAGAGCGGCACTAATAGTGACTGACCTTAAATGAACTTGCAATAACTTTCTTATTAAGGACAGACACAATCTTTATTAAAGTTAGTGATCTGCGCATGCTCAGATGTCAAAATAAGAGGGCACTAATAGTGACTGACCTTAAGTGAACTTGCAATAACTCTCTAATAAAGACCTCGCGTTTTAAACAGGAAAAACTCTTTTCCCAAGAACAATTTGTAAGTGGAAAGTGCGATAAGGAGAGCTATATTCAAGTTAGGGTAAACATTAGATACAGATTGATTCCTCAAAAACGTTGAGAGAGCACACATTCTGCAACCAAATCGACGTAATATACGAGGGTGGATCAAAAAGTACCCGTGTTAGAAAAGAAGAGGCAAGTTTTTCAAAAAAAAATTATTTCTATTTTTCAACGTAATCTCCTTTTATTGCTATACACTTTTCCCAACGTTTCTGCCATTTATTTAACCCCTCCAAAAAATATGATTTCTCAAACTCCGCAAAATACGCTTCAATCTCGACGATAACCTCCTGGCTAGAGCTGAATTTTTTTCCCCTGAGCCACGTTTTCATGTTGGAGAATAGAAAAAAGTCGCATGGAGCCAAGTCGGGCGAGTACGGTGGGTGCGGCAGTAATTCGTACTGCAGTTCTTGCAATATGACCGCGACAATTCTCGATGAATGTGCTGGTGCGTTATCGTGATGAAGCAGGACTTTTGTCTTAGCCAAATGAGGCCGTGTCTCCTTCAATTTTGCATCGAATTGGTCAAATAATTCACTATAGTACTGCTCTGTGATCGTACTTCCTTTCTGCAGAGAGTCGATGAGGATTATTCCCTTGGAATCCCAAAAAATCGTGGCTATAATCTTTCCGGCTGATGGGACCGTCGTTGCTTTATTCGGAGCAGATTCGCCCCGAAAAATCCATTGCTTCAACTGTCGTTTGATCTCTGGCGTATAATAATGTATCCAGGTTTCATCAACGGTGACGACTCGACGCAAAAACTCTTGGGAATTTCGATTAAAGAGCTCCAAACACTGCTTCGACATTGACAGCCGTATCCGCTTGTCCACCGTAAGCAATCGCGGCACCCATCGGGCCGATACCTTTCTCATGTTTAACTTATCATGCAAAATATTAATTGTCGTTCCGTATGATACACCTACGGCTTCTGCTACTTCTTGCACTTTCGTTCGGCGATCTGCGACAATCATGCCTTTTTAAAGATTTCCTCGGTAACAACGTCTGCCGGGCGACCTGGTCGCTCCTCATCAAAAACAGATGTACGACCACGTTTAAATTTGTTAAACCAATATCTTTTACGGTTGTCATAGAAGGTTGAAGGGTCCCCATAGACAGCATCCAACTTTGCTTTTAATTCATCGCATGTTTTTCCATCCAAAAATAAAAAGCGAAGTACGGATCGATATTGTTCTTTTTCCATTTTATCGATTAATGTGAAACACATATGGTACAAGTGGCTGCCAAATAAAAACCAATCTATGAATCAGTTTGAAATTTAGTATGGTGTCGTGTGACAGATGACAGTACACGACAGTAATGCCAACTTCTCTCAGCAACGCCACCTGCCTTCAAACACGGGTACTTATTGATCCACCCTCGTAGATAAAATAGGTATAATAATAGTAGGTACCTAGGATTGATAATTTTCAATAGGAATGTGTTTCTATAGGGACTTATCGTATTAGTATAAAAAAAAACATGAGAAAACCAGTGAACTTGTTTGACTTTTATTCTCTGAAATCGCTGCCGCCCCTAGGACGCTGCCGCCCCTAGGCCGCAGCCTAGACGGCCTATTGAGAAATCCAGGACTGCCTCCTTGTAAACTAGCAAAAACACAGACTTTACCTTTGCTATTTAATATTATAAAAAAATGCTTCTTGAAACAATAATCTTGTTCAAACTCATTCAACTAGGCAAATACAAACATTTTATGTACCTTTTTATAGATCAAACCAAGCTTTTAGCAGCTGCATTCCAAGAATGCTTAGATTAGCTAACTTGCACAATGATCTCAGCTGTTCAATATTGCTTTTTCATCATTAAAAACTTAATTACTAATTTTAATGCTATTTACTGTGTATTTTGTCTTTTGTGATAATATAATTAATTTTTAAAATTGTAATGTGTAATTGAAATGTGCTTGCACGTAAATAAATAATCATTTTGTTGCAGAACTTCATCCTAGAATTCCACTTTTCTCCAAACGAATACTTCACCAACACCATTTTAACGAAAGAATACGAAATGAAATGCGCCCCCGAAGAGGACGACCCATTCAGCTTCGAGGGCCCAGAGATATTCAAGTGCACCGGCTGCGTCATCAACTGGAACAAAGGCAAAAACGTTACAGTAAAGACAGTAAAGAAGAAACAGAAGCACAAGAGTAGAGGCGTGATCAGAACTGTCACCAAAACCATTCAAAACGATTCGTTCTTTAATTTCTTCAGTCCGCCCACCATTCCGGAGGATACTAAAGAGGAGGATTTGGACGAGGATTTGAGGAATTTACTGACCACCGATTTCGAGATAGGCCACTACATCAGGGAAAGGATCGTGCCACGCGCTGTGCTATTCTTCACAGGAGAGGGATGTGAGGACGAGGATGACTTTGAAGAAGAGGAGGAAGAAGAGGACGATGAGGAAGACGATGGTGAGTCAGACGATAATAAGGAGACAGGAGGAAAAGGCAATAAAGATCAACAAAATTGCAAGCAACAATAAATTAACGCTCCCAGCCAGCTCCCCAATTTACTTCAGAGTGACTTCAAAAAGTTGTAATAATATCTTCCTTATTTCGTTATAATACTTCTACTTGGCTTTTTGAGATTATTTTTATTATTCGTTATAGAAATTCGTTGTTTCTATGTCAGTTATTAAAAGGAACTTGTTGAACCTGTGAACGTTTTTGTAGTCGCTACATCATCCAGTTTTTAGACTAATTAATTCCTAAATTTGTTTTGTATGGAATATATTGAATAAAATCATTTCGTATAAATAGTTTTTTCATTTACCATAGATTTTAATAATGAAAGTAGATCTTGCTGTAAACAAACATAATCTGTATAACTATTTAACAATTATTTCAAAATGTGCTGATGCCAATACATGCTCATTAAAAAATAAAGTTAGGTCAGTTAAAAGTTAGCAAGATTCTGGAAAGCCCAAAAAATAATCAGTCTGTAGTTAGATGGGTGCCAGTGAATAGTATATTTTACTTTTTAGTGTAAGATTTATCCAAAGCTAAATTGGACCGTAATTAAGAATAAAGGAAACAAAGGCTATATTGGGAAACTGACTTGTTCCTAGCTTAGAACAATGTATCTAATTTATGTAAATTGTATTTTGCTCCTTTGTTTTATTTCTCAGAAGGGCAGTGGCGGTACAATATAATAACCACTAAGTATCTTGGCATATTATTATTATTATTTTTTTTTTTTTGTTAAGTTTACAAGGGCGTCTCACTTAAGATACACAGTGGCAGCACATAGATCAACAGTGTAATTTCTGTGGATGATAACCTGACTCAGTTCTGTCTAACTTCAATTGGGCCAAGGGCATCTGTTAATAAAATAGCGCTTGCGAGTGCCATCTCATAAAATATGCAACTTTATCAGTGACTTGTAATATGTACAAAAAAAAATCATTGGAAATGTTGGTTTTCACTAACCAGTGTATCAATATTAACATTTTTTGTTGACAAACGAAGAAACTGACTTGTCCGACAGGAAACGCCTATTTTTTGACTATAAATTTCATGTAAAAGATAATTTCGCAAAAATGCTCACTCAAATCACTATTATGTTGTTTTAACAACCACTTTCATGGCCCTTGGTTCCAATAAGGAATAACTTCAAGTATCTCCTCTGCTACACTTAAGTATCCTTGACTATTTCAAGTTGGCTGATTTTGGATAGGTCAGTGCATTTGTCCAGGTAGAGTGAAAAATATTTTCAATTGTATCGTTCAATTTTTTTGGATACATATTGATTACTGTGGTTTACACGTATTGGTTTTGTTCGATGCGAAAAAGACTCATATTTTTCGACAATTTTTGATTCACTGAATTGTATGTTTTGCCATTTTTGATTACAAAATTCTTAATAAGCTACTCTAATCGCCAAAATGATTTTTCCCAACTAATTTTAAGAAGCAGCAATTCTGCATTCGTTATCAGTGTCGAGGCTCTCAAAAAAATGTGTTTTTCTGTTTTAGTTTTTTCTTATTCATTTCTAGACTCCTATACAGCTGAAACTTTTTCTCCTGTGTATTCATTAGGAACTGATAGATACATACTTGATTACTGAAGTTTATTATTGTTAGGTACACATTTGATTACTGAAATTTATTATGGTGATTAAAATAGATTGAATTCCACCGGTCATTATAAACTCGCTGTTCATTTGTTTCTTTTTTCTGCGAATAAATATTTCACTTAAACGATCTTAAGGGGGGGTAAGGTTAATTCGTGCAAAAATGGCACATTTTTGTGAAAATTTTGTTTTAGCGACAGTTAAAATCTGTTTATTTAAACTAATGGTACATTATAGTATATATCAAGAATATTCTGTCAAATTTTTCATGTACAAATATTAAACAAGTATTAGAAATTAAAAATTTAAAAAAACCGACTTCAAAAACGTGCAGATGCCTTCACCACATCTTAACCAAATTTATATGGGACCACCCCTGAGGTACCTCATTACTAACAAAAAAAGAATCATAAATCGGACAAGGTCGTAAAGCATTATCGCTAAACATACATAAAAAAATTAAGAGTTTGAGGATTTTCTCATGGACCCAATTATTAGATTTTAACTTAATTTATACGGGACCACCCCTGAAGTACCCCCTTTCTAACAAAAAAGAATCATTAAAATCGGACACCGTGTTAAAGAATAATCGCTGAACATACATAAAAAAAAAATATCGCGACGAATTGATAACCTCCTTTTTTGAAGTCCGTTAAAAATACGGAAATGACAGCAATTATTCGGAAGTGTCTCGGAAAAAAGTAGAATTGTGGTGCCCCTCCTAACTCGGTTCTGGATCATCAGAAATAAAAAAATCAAAGTTATCTCGTTAGATAATCGTTTTCCCCAGGTAACGCTGGGAGGGTTTTTCAAAATTTAAATTTTTCACTTTTTGGGAACGCTGAAGTAAAAAACGCGATTCTTGCGAAAACAATAGGCTAATTTGTTATAATAAAATGAAAATATATTAACAAATTTAAAAAAACTCCAGCGTTATGTCGTAAATTATGTACAGAAATAGTGTTCAAAAGGATAGGTGCAGTAGTTATGAGGGGCAATGATTTTGGAAACGGGAGTTGTGGGGAAAACGCTTTAAAGTTTTAAATACTAAAAAATTTGGAATAAAACGTTCATAAGCGAGTTTTATCGGCTTATCTCACACTGAATCATCAATCCCAGGTCCATAAAGGATGTTGCTATCATTCATGATGTCTAAAGCATTTTTTTGCTCCTGTCTACGACGAATCCTCATTCATGAACACTTGATCTACTACTGATTCCCAGTCTTGCATGTAGGTTAGTAAAGCAAAAGAACATGTCAGGCCAATGCTGCACTAAATTATATACAGTACAGGTGTTAAAATTTCTATAAAGAAAAGTAGGAGGTTAGGTTAGGGATTATATAGAGCGACACAGATGCCTGTACCAGGTAACAATAGCGCTCTCGGGCCGGGCAGGTATTTTCTGATGCGCTGAGTCATGTATGAGGCGCGGTTACTCAAACCGCTGTATCTTCGTTAGTTTTGCTCCGATTCATCTCAAATTTTCACATATTCTTAAAAGGTTCTCCATTCACAAAATCAAATATAAAAAAAATGTTTCAATACTTTGCTCCCCAATTAAATTGAGTTGCTGATCAGAACAAAATAACTACAATTCACCGGCGGATCATCCAATGGATGGGCAACGGGACAATTGCCCCCGACTTGAGACTAATAATCCTAGTAGTTGATACTTTTTACCCTTTAAATCTAATGAAAAAAATAGCCCACGCTTTGAACGCAGCAAATCCCCCTCCCTACCCTGGAAAGGGTCTGGATCCGCTTCTGATACAATTAAACAAGCACTTGAAAATTTCCAATAACTTAGTTGCAGCCAATATCAATCACTAGTAGCGTCCCAGAGTCTGTATGTGTTATTTAATTTCATTATTGGTGTAAGAATGACTCACTTGTGTATATTTTAATTTTTAAGCATATTTCTATATTGCACGCAGCTCGCAGACCTTGTATTTGACAGCTCTGACCTGACTTCGTTTTTTCATGTTTTACTTTTTATATGTATTGGAGGAGTCTGCAAGATTCATCCAATTTAAATTTATTTCATTAAATGTTTTAAGGCAAGTTTTTAAATTATGATAGTTTTCCTCAACTTGGACCTTTGCGTATATCTATTGTGATTGTCTTTTTAATTGTTGGTAATGACACTATGTCCAATTTGATCTTTCGCAAATGTGTTTCGCAATAAACTCTGTCTAGGAAGTATAGCTGTCCTCTGCAGCGGTTTGTGCTGTTTTTTTTTTCTAGAACCGTGCCTGTACCTTTATATGTATACAGACAACGTCAGAACTAAAGATATAACATTATTTGCAGGTGCACAATTAATACTTTATACCGTTTCCTCATTTTTGCAAGGTCAATGTTGAACATACCCAAAACGTCCAGTAAAGATAAGTTTATTCAATAATATTTTGTTTACAATCAGGCAACTCAAACAGATTAAGTTCTATGTTTTATGAGACTGGCATTCTTTTTTTATATTCCTATTTTTGTTGGTTCGCTGTACAGGTCGCATGAAATTTGTAGTCATAATGAACAGGTTCCTATTTTTGTAGTGCCTGTTTCTATCTTGTTTACCATTCCCAGAGTGTGAAAAAATGTAAACTTATAATTAGTAGTCCTTAATAATTACATTATTATTAAAAAAATTGGATACAGATGTATTTTTCGTTTGATAAAAATTAAAATTATGTCTTACAGCAGTCCATTATTTGTTTGGTGCATTATAAACTTACCGACCTCTGGCGGATATTTTAGAATTTTGCGCAGGTTAGGGCCATCGTGGGCCTGACAAAGAGCCAGAGATAGAGGAAACGACGCCGCCCCAGATTAATGTAGGCTTTGAGAGATCTTTAGCAGGCCAATTTTCAACCAACGATTTGCACTCCCAAAGCCAATAGTAGTTTGTACAACAATACTCTGGATATAGACATTCCACTTGAGTTGTACAGTATATTTTTTCTACGACTCGCTAACTAAAATCTACAAATTTTAAAAATTATTTTAAGTTATTAACACAAAATAACTAATTTTAAAATAATTCATGATTTTTACTAATAAATAAAATAAACATGAAAACACAGATTTTATTTAATTAGCCCCTAGTCCAGTTTTGAACCCGGGCCTTTCGCATAGTGGTCAAACGACCTGACTCACCTCCATGGAGACACCATTTTTAGGAAAATTGTGCATAGAACAAAAATTATAGAGAATATTATTAGAAGTAACTTTTATTTAAAGAATGTTCTTCTCCGCAAACGTAAATAACAGATATATTCCATAAAATATAAAAATACCCTCTACAAAGTACCACTACCCAGATGTTCCGACTCTGCCAAAAATCTAATCCGTTCACTGCAGGCCAGAATAAAGGTTAAGTTAAAAATTTGGTATTTTTCTCTATCCGTTTTTGAGTTTTCTTCAAAATTCGAAATTTTACACATTTTCTTAAATATCTGGAATACAGAAATTATGTATTGAACAAGAATTATAGAAAATAATGTAACAATTTTTTTTGACACTTCTTAAAAATTTAATTTTTTACATTTTGTAAAATTTCTCAAATACGGACCATTTTAGGAAAATTTTCTAAATTATATTTTCCAAAAATTATAGAGAATAATATGCGAAGTAACTTTTACTCAAACAATATTCTCCTCCAAATGTGAATAACGGATATATTCCA